CTCCCTACCTCCCTCCCTCCCTCCCTCCCTCCCTAGTCCTCGTCCTCGTCCTCGTCCTCTTCCTCCTGTGCCTCACCTTGGCGATAACGTCAACCACCTCGGTGTAGGGGAGGCGAACTTGGGTGCAGGAGTCGCGCTCACGTAGGGTGACCGATCCTTCCTGCTCTTGGCTGCCCGAGGAGTCGTTCTGACCGATGGAGTCGAAGTCGAAGGTGATGCCGAGGGGGATACCAAGCTCGTCGTTACGCGCGTAGCTGGAGGGGAGGAGGAGAGGAAGCGAGAAGGAGAGGGGGAGAGGAGGAAGAGGGAGGAGGAGGAGGGAAAGGCAGGAGAAGGAGGGAGAAGGAGGATGCGTCAGTCCCCTGCTTCAGCTCTACTTGTGCTTCTTTACCGCTTGCCGATGGAGGCGCCCGAGTCGTCAACTTTGTATCCCAAACCGTAAGAAGCAAACTGACAGGATGAAAGTCAGGACTTGAAGCAACACAGCAGAGGAGGAAGGAGAAAGCAACGATGAGGGTTAAGATTTTGGTAGAAAAGAACAAGGAGGACGAGGAAGACGAAGGAAACGAGGAGGAGGAAAATGAGAAGGAGTACGAACACGCGATCAAAAACAAGGATTGTTCCTCCAATGGACAAAACTGCACCTGCATGCGCAGCTCCTCGACCATCGATTGATATTTGGCGTTGTTGGCAATCTAAGAAAAAAATGAGCTGAAACGAAAGAAAGAAAGAAAGAAAGAAAAGCTCGAGAAGCACAGAACACACGTGGAAGTGTAGGAGATCGTGGAGAAAATGGGGGAAAGTGAAAGGAGATTGAGAAGTATTGAAGACAAAAAACATGAGGAGGAGAAGGAGGAGGAGGAGGAGGAAGAGAAGGAGGAGGAGGAGGAGCAGCAGCAGCAGCAAGGGTCAGGAGCTTACTCTCTGATCGAGGGGCATGATGATAGCCTTGTAAGGAGCGACAGAGGGAGAGAGGGAGAGAACTCCTCGCACAATCTTCTCCTTGTCGTCGGGGTCTTGAGGACGAGCATAGTAACTGTGCTCAAGAACCTGACACATCGTCATCACTACCAACATACAAGTGCCACCGACTCCTCATCCTTCATTCCCCCCTCCTCCTCTCCTCCCCTCCCTCTTCGTCCTCCTCTCCGCACCCCTTCTCCCACCCTCTCCCTCGTCCTCCTCCTGCTTCCCATCCTCCTGATCTCTTTGTCTTCTCTCTCCATCCATCTCGCATCCCTCCGTCAAGTTACCGCGGTGAAGAGACGGTCAATGCCGAAGGAGGGCTCGATGACGTGAGGCGTGTAGTTGTTGTAATGGCGGGTGTCGACACGATACTGCAAGGGGTACAACCCCATCAGATATGTCTCTCCTCCCCCTCCCGCCCCCTTCTCCGCTCCCCAGCTTCTCCTATCCGTCCCCTCAGCTCTCAGTGCTCCCCCTCCTGTGAGTGTTCCCCGCCTCCCTCCCTCCTCTTCATCTCTCTCCTTCTCCATCCCTCCTCCATCCTTCCTCCATCCCTCCTCCCTCCGCCACTTCTTCCTCCTCACCTCGAACACGCAGTGCTCCTTCTTGAGGGTAAACTCCTTGGACTCGATCGTGACAACTTTGGAGCCAGCGGAATTGACCTCCTCCTGCCCTCGCAGCATGAGACAGCCACAGACACCATCCTTCGATGGAGGAGGGGAGCAGGAGGGGGAGCAGGAGCAGGAGGCGCAGCAGGAGACGCAGCAGGAGCAAGAAAGGGAAGAGGAGAGAAAGAAGCAGGAGCAGGAGCAGGAGCAGGAAGGGGAGTAGGAGCAGGAGAGGGAGCAGGAGCAGGAGAGGGAGGACTGAGCAGGAGAGGGAGCAGGAGCAGGAGCAGGAGCAGGAGCAGGAGCAGGAGCAGGAGCAGGAGCAGGAGCAGGAGCAGGAAGATCTGGGCACCTGGAGTTTCTTCGACTCTTCCAGAGAGTGTCCTTCAAGAAACGACTTGACGATAGGAGCGTCTTGCCTGAAGTCCTTCCCGAGTAGGGCAGCAGCTTTCTTGTTGAGGTAGACGACGTCGACAGAGACAGGAGCGTCGAGTTTCTCCTGCGCGCTCAAGTCGACCTTGGTCTTCTGAGAGTGGACCGAGAGGTCGTAGGCTGAGCGATCGGCAATGCCGACTGTCTCCATCCATCCGGTTGAGACCTGGGGGGAGAAGAGTGAGGAAGTGATACAGGAAGAGAAGGGAAAGTAGGTGTGTGTGTGAAAACGAGAGCGAGAGGAGGAGGAGGAGGAGGAGGAGGAGGAGGAGGAGGAGGAGGAGGAGGAGGAGGAGGGAGGAGGAGGAGGAGGAGGAGGGAGGAAAAGAGATTGAGATGGGACAGAGGAGGAGAAGAGAACGGCAGGTGCGTAGAAGGCAAGGCCGGAGGGAAGATGAATTTAAGCCATCTTGAAAGGAAACGAGGAGTGAAGGACAACTTCGATGGTGATGTCTTGCTAACCCTCGCATGCTCCAGCTCACCTCGATCTCAGCATCCCAGCAATCGCAAGCGTAGTGAGCCATCTCAGTCGGCAAGTGTTGGCGGAAACTGCCGTGACAGGTCATAAGGTGCAAAGATGGGAGGAGGAACATGAAGACAGCAGCGGTGGCTGGGGGTGAGGAGGAGAGGAGAGGAGGGGAGAGGAGAGGAGAGGAGGACGGAGAGAGAAAGGGAGGGACAAGAGGAGAGTGAGATGATGAGAATACCGGACCAGGACGATGATGAGAGGTAGTTCGAATCATCGTCGTCGGCTGAATCGTCCACTGAGTTGACGCCCAGCATGCAAGCAATGTTGTCCTCCTGCATTGTGGGCAGTGTCTCCTCGTCCTTCTTGATTTCAACCTCTGGGGTCAGAGACTCATTTTGTTGTGCT